CTGTTGTTTTACACTGAGGTTTAAATAGGGGTGCTAGGAAAAAATATAACACCAAGTCAGTACCTCTTCTTCAACAAGGAGTCACAGTACCGAGCAAGTAGCTCAGGGGATTTACTGGATGACTGGGCCATTTTGGTAACTGCATTGTTGTTTATGAAGCGACCACAAGCCTGTGTATATAAAAGACAGTTAGAGAAAAGGTATCCTGTGCATACATACTGAACAGGCAGCACAGTGACACACTTACCTTATCAAGTGCAGCCACGAAGCCAGCCAGCATCATTGTTGAATGCTGACATCACCAGGGCATTGTATTTTTTATGAACATCTAGCACTGTCTGCACATACATCTTGGGGTCCTTAGGTGGAGGGAAAGCCAAAAACAGACAAGAATTAAAAACACATATTTTACACTGCTGAAAAACGTTCTACAAGTTTTAACTACATGTTCAAAGAAGTTAATATAATCAGAAATACATTTGGTTCCACCACTAAAACACATAGGACATTGTGTTTCTATGTAAAACAAAATAATTCTTCAAACTAAAAATTAAACACCTTTAAAAAAAAACTTGAAAAGATCATGAAATTTGTCCCCCCCCACCCCCAAATGACAAGGTCTGAACACAGATGGGAATGTACAATGGCAACTGTGTGGCCAAGGTCAGGGACAAGTACGGGGACTTGGGATGCGGGGAACAGGGACTCTTCAGACAGAAGAAAACAGTGGAAGATGCTAAAGGGGACAGTACTGGTAGAAGATACAGGAGATGGATGGGGGAGGAATCAATATCAATGGTCAAGTACCAGTCACTATTTGCCAGTCAAGGACCCATAATGTGTGGCAGGTATCATTTTTAATGTCCATTTTACATGAGTAAACTAAGTTACACTTCCTACTACAGTAAGCGGCACCCGAGTCAGGTGAGGACTCGGGTAGATGACTCCTGTCTAGTCTGTTTCTTTCAGCTTTCAGAATGGAAAAGACCCAGCCGATGGACGCAGAGAGAGAGGTGGGAAGGCTCCTGACTAGCCTTTAATAAACTAGGAACTTCAGGTGCACAGAAAGGAACTATTCTGTCAATGTCTCTAAATTCCTGATGTACAATTTCAATGTTGATCTTTTTAAAACAGCCTTTCTATATACAGCCCAAGCGTACCATAAACTTGTGACCTTGTTGCTTCCCCTGCTGCCACCACTGTGCCCAGACCCCAGTTCCTCACACGCTGTCTTGCACAATTCAGGAATGAGAAAACAGAAACCCTTGAATACTAATTACTTTGTATTTTTGGTAAAATTTGTTTTTAATTAATAATGAGTAAAAGCAGAACCTTATAATACAATCATTTTCTATACGCTGCAGGTATGTCTTGTTTAAAAATATAATAGATGCAAAATTAGTATGAAAAAATATATGATACAATTTCACTGAGATGGAAAGGTGTCTTTACCTGATACAATCAGATAATCTGGTCCCTGTCTCCTGACAACTACTCCTGTATGTTGCAGAGATGGCACCACTCTAAAGAAAGCATCCGAGAGCACCTACAATTCAAGCATGCACCTCGCTTCATATGGGCTCTTCTTTTTTTAAGCAATGCATTTTTTTTCCTTTGCTTGACTTAATTTTGGTTTGTCATTAAAGCCCATAATACTTTGGCAGACATAGGTTTTAAACTGATTTTTGATCTTACATCAAATTACTGCACATTCATATTCTCTTCCCTGACGATTTCTACAGTCTTTTTAAAAACAAAAACAAAACAAAAAAACAAAGGGCTCTAGCCTACAGTGTACATCCAACCACAGGAAAATGCAGTAACCACTACTGGACCACCCAGCTCCCATAAGGAGGCTAACATCCTTGCAAAGAACCAACTGCATGTCAAATTTAAAGACTCACATTGCTTATAAAGCCTGTTATTTTGAGGACTATGACTCACAGGATTCATACAAGGTGTATTGTGTGTGTGTGTGTGTGTGTGTGTGCACGCATTTATTGAGAGACTAGGCCCTACCATGTGTTCCCACCTCTCGCTGAGGCTCCTAAAGTACTGACCTCAGCTTCACCTCCATGCACCTGCCCTCTTACTCTTTGTAGTGATTTACAGATTGCGTCTTTACTTTTATGTGCTAGAAGAATTATAACCATTTCTCTGCCTTTTTTATCTCTTTAAATTTTTCCTCAGATTCAGGATTTGGAATCAAATTTCTCAGTAAATGCCCAGAAGAAATTCCCATGTGGAGATAAAAAGCTTTGCAAAGAATAAAGTAGCCTTCAGATTGATTCTAGATTCCTCATAATAGAGAAGACCCAGCAGAGTAAGGTTGAGAGGGTGGGATTGGCAGGAACAATGTACCAGATAGCAAAGCCCAGAGAAGTGGATTTAGAAAGTTCATTATTACAGTGTGTACGCAGGACACACGTAAGTATGGAGGAGGAGTGCTACAACACTAGTGTGGAGCTTAGACAATTTTGGGGAGTCAGTTCTTTCTTTCCACTGTAGGTCTTTCGGATCAAACTCATGTCTTTCTTTGTTTGTTTTGACTTAGGGTCTCATAACCCAGGCTAGTCTCCTATGTTCTGTATAGTCAAGGGTGGCCTTAGGTCTGACCTTCCTGCCTCTGCCTCCTGAGTAGTAGAGTTACAAATATGCACCACCACACCTGGCTCTGAGAAAAAAAAATTGAGGTTTAAAACAAAATGAATGTAATAGTGATAAATCTGGTCCGAATCCATAACAACACATGAGAGGTTTTTGGTTTTTTTGCATATAAGAAACATAGCACCTCTCAGGTCCCAAGGAGACTCTCTCATCCAATGCCCAGGATTCTAAAAGCTGGTCCATGACTGTTCTTTTAACAATCTAGACCAAAGTCCCACCAAGCCGCAGCTTGACCTTCAGAAGTCATGGGATTCCATATTTCCTAAGCCAAAAACTTAAATGATCAACTCCCCTCCGCCACCACTGTCATTTCATCTTGTCTCCACAAAGCCTATTGCTAGTAGTTTTACAGCCTCTCATTAGCTTCACTTTCTACATTGTAGCAATGTTTTGAATAAAAATCTAGCCTTGTCAAGTGCATGGTTATTAATAATAATATGCTTAGCAGCTATCCTTGTGTCCCTTGAGTGGAGTTAACATAATTAATATCCTTCTAAGTTCTCCCAACATCTGCTCAGGTATCTCCATCTTTCCAGTCTCTCCTTAAATCCTGTCTTACTTCTTTAGACTGTGCTTATTCACAGCCACTGAAGGGCTATCTGAGATCTCTCTTTGCCTAGGTGGAAAGTACCCGAAGACAACATTCAACATTGAATTATGGCCTCTACAAACGTACTAGTACACACATATGTACATACCCCCAGTTCCAATGCACACACACAAGAAGACCAATACTGGTCTTCAAAAAGACCTGATTCAGGCAGTGAGGTATATGCCCATTGTAGGATGACCTGGGAGGCTGAGATAAGAGGAGGCCACCCTGGGCTGAGGAAGACTTAAAGATACCACTTCTGAGGATTAGCTGTGATCCTAAATTTTGACCCAGTACTTTTCAAGAATACTGTCAAATGAGAAAAACTGATTCTTTAGGCTTTTAAAGAAGCATCTCACTCTTCATGTATGTAAACTGGGCCACTAATAGATCTAAACAATGCTTTCAACCTAAGCCTGGAGCCACTTTGAATCTGTATTTCTTCACTGGGTCAGGGACTAATGAGAGCCAATTGTTAAGTTTGTGTAACTGTTAACTTGTTAAACTCTGTCATGAAGCAGTTAACCATTATCAACACAGCTACTACAGAATACATGGGCTCTTCCTGAACACTGAACTTACCTCTGGATAATTTGCCTTTTGGAAATTAGGGGAAAGAAATTAAAAGTTTGCTCCCAGGAAGAAGCAAACACATGATACAGTCATCTGGGGACAAAAGTGTTACCTGTAAGTTCCCAGCCTTTTGAGTAACTTTGTCCTCATATAAATCATCTATCTCAGCATAAAGCCAAAGTCACATACCCTGATCACAAACCATCAACTGCAGAGAAAGAGGCAACTGTTTGCAGCACACCCACTAAATGTTTAATCCTGAAATTCCTTCTCCATCAGCCACCAAGCCACCCAATGTGTGTTCAGGAATATAGAAATCATTCACTCATTCATTCATTCATTCATTGGTAAAGACAGGGTCTTCACAGCCCTGGCTTTCTTGTGACTCACTATGTAGACCAGGCTGGCCTCAAACTCACAGAGATCCACCTGCCTTGGCCTCCTAGATGCTGGAATTAAAGGCGAGTGGTAAAACTGATTTTGATATGAACTGGGGGGAGAAAAGGGAAATAAACATGAGGTCTCACATACTACACAGCATACATTTACATTTTTAATAGACCTTTTCTTCTCTGTCAATTAGCAGAAATGAGACTGCATGTAGCTTAAAGTGTGAAAAGCAGAGACAAACACCAGTGATCTAAGACACACTATTCTCATTATTGCAATCTCTGTTCCTTTTTGCTCCAAACATTTGTGTTTGTCGTTTGTTTTTTAGGATAGAGTCTTACTCTATAACCTAGAACTCACTAGGTATCCCAGGATGGCCTTGAATTCATGGCCCATCTAACAAAGGATAGACAGTGAGAGACAAGGTCAGTGATAGGGTTCTAACTAGCCTTGAACCAACAGGGGAGTCACTTTAGTACTTGTCATTGTACAACACAGTTTACATCAGGATTTAGCTTGATGTGGCATAAAAACTGATTTGGGAATGAATTGCTTCCATAGTGAATTCCCTTACAGAGGGATTAAACTCTTCCCCTTGTTGGAAAAAAATGAGTATCCTGGATATAAAATGACAGTTTGGTCATGCTAGATTTAAAAGATTATTGTATGGTTTTCCATTCTTGTGTGTGGTTTTGTTCCACAATAAGAAAAAGTGAAACTATTCTTGTTCTCCCAAGGTTACAGACCTATCATTCACAAATTTAGGGTAAGCAGTGGCTCAGCAGTTAGGAATGTGTATTATTCTTGCAGAAGAAGAGTTTCGTTCTCAGCACCCAAGATGAGTGACTCACAACAAACACACACTACATCTCTAAGAGGTGTGACACCTCTTCTGGCTTCTGTGGGCACCATACCCATAAACACGAACCCATTTTTTAACATAGTGAAAAAATATAAATGATCAAACAAAGTAAAAAAACAAAAAAGAAAAAAAAAACACCCAGAAAACAACAACAAAAAGAGGCTAGAGATACCACTCAGCAGGTAAGATCACCGGATACCGGATGCTCTTGCACAGTATCAGGGTTCAGTCCATAGCACCTACACAATGGCTCAAAACCATTCCTAACTCCAAGTCCAGGAGCTCTGAGCCCTGCCCTCTCTATCTGAGGACCTCGTCAGGCATACACACATTCAGACAGAAACACTAAAGACAAAAATTAAAAAAAAAAAATTATCAATACTTAAAAAGGTGCTGGAGAGAGCTGGGTGTGGTGGTGCAAGCTTTAGGGAGGCAGAGATAAAGAGGTAGATGGATCTCTGTAAATTCAAGCATGGGCTACATAATGAAACCCCATCTTAAAGGGGGCAGGACGAGGGGAGGCTAGAATAATTTAAGGACTTTGTGACCTTTCTACTTTCAAAAGCCAAAACAGGTTCCCTGTATCAGTAAAACTATAACAAAGGTACACCACACACACCTGCAGTTGGCATGTGACAATAATGGGCTCAATTGCTTTTCAGACAGGTCCTACTTACATTTAGAGCAGCTTCTCCACACTTCTCAATTGCTGCAAGACCCTGATTATGAATATGCGTCTCTAGTAGTTTTTTCAATTCTCCTAGGCCATCCTGAATTCTAGATACAAGATTATACATGCGGCCCAAATCTGAAAGAAAAAAAAGAGCCAATTTTATGCATGGAAACCAACTGTGCATACCTTTTCTGTTCATTAGGTACTTATATCAAGTGAAAAACACTGTGAAATAGGAAACCATCTTCTAGATCTGGTGTACTTTGTTAAAAGCAACAATGGGGTCAGGGTATTAAAACTTTATTATTTCTCCTTTACCATGAGAATCTGCTAATGTACCATTGAGAAAAAGCACTGAATGATTTCTAAAATCTTGATGAGCTATTTATGCCCCCAAAAGGTACTAAAACATTTGCTTAAAAAAATAAACTTAGGGGCTGGAGAGATGGCTCAGAGGTTAAGAGCACTGACTGTTCTTCCAGAGGTCCTGAGTTCAATTCCCAGCAACCACATGGTGGCTCACAACCATCTGTAATGGAATCCAATGTCCACTTCTAGTGTGTCTGAAGACAGCTACAGTGTACTCATATACATGAAATAAATAAAATAAATCTTAAAAAAAAAAAGTGATGTTTTTAAAAAAATAAATAAATAAATAAACTTAACATAGATACCTATTTCAAGTCATGAAAGGATTCCTCCAATTATTCACTTCATCTGTGTTCAATTTATGGTAGCTAAAGATGGAAAATCCTAAATCCCAAACAATGTGACTGAACACCACCAGTTCCCACTAGCACAGAGGAGCAAATAAGGGAACTAAAAACAAAACAAAAACATCTTTTTATTGTTTCAAAGGATAGAAGGAAGAATACTCAAACACAAAACAAAACAAAACAAAAAAAACCAAACAAACAACAAAAAAACCTGCCCTCCATTGGTAATGCTAGCACAAGTGTGTGGAACAGGTTATATTCACCTTCATTCTTGTCAGCATCCAGCAAATTCTGAAACTCTGTGTGAAAAATTTCCAAGTGTTTTTCGATGAGGACCTGTTCACATTTCCGTGCTAGCTCATCTTGTGTGCTCTCATGGAGGTAAACCTGAACTCTCCGCTGCTCCTCAAGCAAACGAGCTTCAGCCTGCAGAGAAGTCAATCAAAGCAAACCAATGAATGGTTGGATTCACTTTTAAAGAACTAGTATGTGAACAACAAATTAAATTCACAAATATTCCAGTAAAGTATGATTAAGAAAAGAGAAATAGGACTTTAGACTGTAGGGTGATTGCCAACTGTATTATAAAGCCACTGGTCTGTTCTACTCTTTCTGTAATATGGGCTCGGATCCTGGCAGTCAGTCCCTTAAGAACATTATCATAATCAACAGCTCAAATGTCTTTGTACCATTTTTCTTTGGTTAAATGGTATTTCACATCTTGGAGGCAATATTCCCCACCCCTGTGGGAAAAACCTACAGGACTTCTTTAGCATGTGGTCACTAGATTAAGAAGCTCTACTGTGGTCTGAAAGCTGTTTGAAGTCAAGGGTTAATATAATCCTAGAAATGACCACTCAGAAATACAGAACATATCCTGGTCAGGAAAACAAAACTTACTTCTCAGAAGAGAGGGTAGGCTTTGATGTCTTTATTCAGCAATAAGGAAAAAAAAAAAAAAAAAAAAAAAAAAAAGGAAGGACGGACAAACAGAGCAGCCTTCCCTGGTCAGCCAGGAAACACACACTTCTAAAGTTCACATGGGACACTGCAGAATCTCAACTTCTTGAATTTCTTTCCAAGCAAGAGAGGCTAACAGACAATTTAACACAACAGAAATCCAAGTAAAAGACAGTATATTTTAGAATCTGTCACCAGAAACATGTGGGAGGTACAGAGTCTCTGAGGACCTCCTACATTATCAGGACAAGGAAGAGACTGCAGTGAGCCTCAATTATTCAGGTGATCTGAATAAGAAATGACAAAAGTTGTAGTTTACTTTCCACATAGACTTTTCAGATTTTGTGTAATTGTGGATAAATCCGGAGAATTACTATTAGAATTGAATAAACAACATTCAACACTAAGAAAACTGACTAGGCAAAGCTTGGACCATCAAATCTGATCATGGGTGGTTACTCAATCCCAGGAAAGCAGCTCAAGCCACAGCATACATTCACCCTTGGCAGAAAGCTAAACTGGCAGAGTAAACTTCAACATAGTCAACTGTGTATTAATCACAAAGTCCATATCCTAAACACAGAATGACCTCTAACAAACCAGTAAGTATATCCAAAAAGCTGGAATGAGGAACAGATAAGTCACAACAACAACAACAACAACAACAAAAAACCACAAACGGTTTGAGGTTAGTAAATTTCTAAGTAAGAAACTCAAAAATCAAAATATGACAAAATAATTTATAGTACACTTGATATTATCCACTAAAACATACCAAATCATTAATGTGTAAGTTCAAAGAAAAGAAAGCAAAAACAAGACCCCATGCCCCCAAAAAGCCCACAGCAGCATTCCAGTCTGCTAAGTAGAAGCAGATAAATACTGAACTACCATTCTTCTTGTTTTAAGTCAATCTGTTCTTGGAAGAACATATACCATCCTGGTCAAAAAAACAAAACTTACTTCTTAGAAGAGAGGGTAGGCTTTGATGTCCTTGTGAATTCTCTATGGGGACGCAGACTATAGTCAGTTTACAGAGCTTGCTGCAGGAGCCAAGTGGCAGAAAGGAAGAAGCAGGTCCCTAACTGGGAACTAATTTGTGACAGCAGGTATCTTTACCATTGCTGTCATGTACTCATCATGGAACACCAGGACCGTATTTAAATGACTAAGTACCTTAAAGTTCTTGAAAATGACCCTGACTAACTCCATTAAAAACAATTATCAACAAAAATAAAGAGGAATAAAAAACAGAACTGAAAGGTTGGTAAAAAAAAAATTAATGAAATAAGGCATTTTCTTCAGTGACTATTTTGACTGCATGTATAGTATGTCCACTAAGTACACAAAGATCAGAAGAGGCTTCTGGATCTCTGAGAACTGTGATCACAGATGGCTGTGATCCAACTGTGGAGATCAAGGCAGGTCCTCTGTAAGAGCAATGCCCACTCTTCTGCCAATCAATCTTTAGAGCTCGTATTTTATTTTTAAATAACAAAAAGATTAGGAATTTAAAATATTCAAACATGTTCATTTTTGTTTGTTGTTTTTATAAGTCAGATTAGTCTCAATCACATGAGATTTATTTTAAAGTGTTAATATAGCTTGTAGCTGTTCAGCCATCAAAGGCATTTCTGGATGGAGCAACCATTATCAACTGTTTACACTAAAACACACCTACCTAATGACAGCAAACTAAAGAGACCTCTAGGGACTGTAATATCTAGCCCAAATTGGCTGTTGAAAGCACGGTATTTCCCAAAAGCTAATATTTACCTCAAAATTGTTCCTGAGATGTTGTATTCTACTTGATTGTTTTAATATAAATGTAATTTCTCCTCAAGTTCTTGAAACTGTCAACTTTTTTCTAGTGGTTCTACACCTTCCAGTCACAGGCTGAACACTCTGAGGTATGCACATGTAAAGTCAAAGCCCTCCAGTATGTTTGCTTTGCTAAGCTTTCCTATAGAGCCTTTAATATAGACATGCAATGCATACATAGTTTCAGATCTCCATTATTTTAAAAGTAAAGCTCATTAAATTCCCACTATCACTCAATATTATTATTTTCCTTTCACAGATGAGGAAACTAAGGAACAGAATGGTTAAGGTCATTCTTTAACCTTGAAAACTGGTGGCCCAGTTTGAGATACAAAGATATAAGATTACCTCTGTATTGTTTGTTTTTTATAGCCTGAATTATAGATTTCCTCAACAAGATGAGAAGTCATGTTTGATAAGACTTCTAAGTGGGTCAGGACCAAACTTTTAATGCGTTCAGAGAGCTTCCTGGAGGCTGAAGAGAGGTTAGATTACAAACACTGACCCACCAGACACTATTAAAGTTGCCAACTTTAAAAAACAGATTCCTGTGTTTAGAGTATGTATGCATCACTGTTCTAAAAGTTGCTTTTGTTATACTTGCTACTGCTACTCTTATCTGCATGGACAGCAGACATCACCATAAATCATAAAGTCGTTTACAAAGGGCAGGTTGGCACCATAGTGGTGTGCAATGTTGGGGAAGATTCCACTCTAAAGATATAGTTGAAGAAAAAAATTCTCTACTGGGTTGGCAAAATGGCGCATAGTGTTAAGGATATTTACTGCTAACCCTGACGATTTAAACTCGATCCCTAGTGTCTATACAGTAAAAGAACTAATCTATACATATGCTAATATGGCATACATACATTGTACATGCACACATGCATACACAAAATAAATAAGTGCAAAAAAAGATTTAAAACAGAGTTCAGTAAGACACCTGTTTATAAAAACTACAGTCAGACTACAAAATTAAATAATGAGCAATACCTGGATTCAAAATAGATTATGTCTCAAATAAATACCTTTAAAGAGCTGGTTTGGTTTCTGTCACATACAAAATGCATACAAAGATCTTGTTACAAGAACAACCACTATCCCGCATATATAACCCACTAGTTCTACTTCTGTTGAATTTTGAGATATCAGAAATGTGTAACTGACTTTCAAACTCAGAAGGCCCACGTATATTCACCTTATTAGTGCACCATACGAAAATGCACTCTGAACACCACAAGCTAAGCGTGGCTTTCTCTATATGTCAAAAGCAGAGTGGTTGAGCTTATATTTTATTTTCTTTCTTTAAACATGGAAATGACTTGGCAGTCCACTTCCTGCCCAAGAGAGGGCAAAGTAGGTATCAGACTTGGTATGACCTAGAATCTTAAACATTTAGAACATACAGGTGAGAGGGTCACCAAACTATATATTTTGTCTGCTGGCAAAATCCTGCTACACCCGTTTCCTGCTTATGTCAACATTTCTATGACTGCTTTTGTTTCTTAGCAGTGGAGGTATACAATGGTAAAAGAGATCTTATATAGGATAAGAAGCCTAAAGATTATTTACTGACCAGTACTATATAGCAGAAAGCTTGTCAACTCCTGACATAGTCATTCCTCAGACCCAATATCCAGAATACTTGAATTTCCAAGAAAGAGAGTAAAGAAAACTCCTATTAGAGGTTGATGGAAGCACCCTGCAGTAAAGAGCAAATGAGAATACATGCTCCGCCCTGGATCTGCTAAGTCAGATTTAGATCCTCCCTCCTAATATAATCTTGAATGGTTAAACTATGACTCTTAGGGAATATTTTAGGAGAAAAACAGCAAAAACAAAAAAAATTAGCAAGTTTAAGAATAGCTCTGCTTATTTTCTCACTGATATAAAATCCTGAGGGCCACACTTCAAGGGAAGACAATTCAAAACCATGGAAGGCATGCAGCTATCAAGGCATCTCCTTGTATGTGCAGGGGGACACTCACTCACAATTCTCAATTTGTAAGAGTCCCTTGGAGAGTTCTCTGAGCTAGACCTGCTGACATGGTGTGACAGCCGTGGCAAGCCTGACTGGGGAGGAACACTGCAGGGCCAAGAGCTCCCTGGAAGCGTGACGACTATTTAACTTATTTCTACTTTACATACTATGTTGACGCTTACCATTTTCATATATTCAGTTACTGGGTTCTGCTGTAAGAATTCAGTACTTTCTCTGGTATAAAATCTCTCTGTATCAGCCAAAAATTGAGATTCAAAGGATTCTTTATACACTGTTAACGTAGGGCCCTTTGCAAATGCATCGTCTTCATTCAGCCCCAATTCCACTAGAAACAAATATGAGCTATACTTCAATTACTGTAGTTTTTGTTATGTTTTACAGATAATACTTTGATGTAGCAGTCAATTTAAGTTACACTTAAAAGGTCAATGTGAAATGGTGGGTTGTAAGATAATTATTATTTGCTAGTACTAAAGTATGCTTATGTCAATAAATGAAAAAAAAAAAAGAATAAACTCCAAGATGTTTAGCTGCAAATCATCCTTACCTGTGCCAGGGATACTTCAAAATTACAAGGTTAGAGAAAGTTTACATGTCAAAAAGTGATATAAATATTGCACTGTAAACTTTCACAGAAATGCAAACCCACCTGAGTTTCAACAATGCATCATTTAATCAGTGTCTCAATCTCAAAATTTTCAAGTTGATATAGTTTTCTGGTTATCATTTAGCTCAAAAAAAAAACAATTATATATACGTAATTCCTCATGAAAACAGCAGAAGAAATATAATTCATTTTTTTTACAAAATTTTCTTAAAGTACAAAGATTAAATATTTTTTATGATTTGCAAAATGACTACTTAGAAGTACCATAAAGATTAACATTCCTGATAATCTTTTTATTAAAGATTATTTTTAAAATGAATATTAGAGCACTATCATAATTGCCATGTGATACAAAAACTATTGAATAAAGGCAAATTACTTACCATAAGATTGTACAACTCCACTTATCAGTCTTGTATTGATGGTTTCACCATTTCTTTCCTTTTCAATCAGTTTTAAGACAGCATTTGTTACCTTTAAGAACACATGAAAGGTATAAGGCAGACATATTACAGCTCGCAATGTATCTTTATATATCCTTTAAACATTTAAAGCCACTAAATAATACAAAGTAACAAATATTTTAGGGGGATGGGTACATGCATGTATGCGTGTATCTACAAAGACTGAGGATGATTTCAAGAACTGTTTACCAGGAGTAATTCTCCATGTTTTTAAGACAGTCTCTTACTGCCATGGAGCTCATTGAGGAGGCAAGCTTCACCCTGGCCAGGAAGCACTAAGGATCTACTTGACCCTACCTTTCCAGTGCTGGGATCACTAGTGGACATCACTATAGCTGCTTCCTTCTAATGGATACTGGGACTCTTCCCCACGTCCTCATGCTTGCACAGCAAGGACTTTACAGACTAAGCCATATCCTCCCCAGCCCAACAAATACTCTTGAGACAGCCAAAAGGCTTGAGAAGACAAGATACAAATGGGAAGTTTCTTTTTTAAGGAACACACATATATCCAATAGTAGATACCTGTTTATTCAATGGCCTGAACAAACAATCTCTCCATGTCACCAATGCAAGCTGGATGAAAAAGGAGAAAAGATGTATTGAACATCCCTGAAACTTGTCATGGACAATAATCTGAATTCTTAATTTTACCAAAATCTTTTGATTACAACTTAGCAAAAACCTACTATCACAATGAAATCTGAGCAGCTCTCTTAAGTTATCACTTTGTATAGATGTTTACCTTCTCACATTTTAACAACAAAGTTCAGAAAGAAAATTCTAGGTTAAGGAGGACATTTGTATCAGCTTAAAACCCAGCAATGGATTCAATCTATAAATGTATTCCTGGATCTAACCAGTTTTGACCAGAAACACCTGATAAAACTCTTAGTCACTCCCACAGTTTCTTAACACATCAAGATACATTTAAGAAATCATAAAAATCTTCCAGTGCACTTTAAATGCAGTTTCTTGTACATAGATTAAGACTTCCTACTGTACTTGGTGTGCACATGGTATCTGTTCACATGCGCATGTGACGATGTATACCAGGTGGATGGAGACCCGGGAGGACTTTCCGTGTCCTGCTCTATCGATCTCCACCTTATTTCCTCGAGTCTAACTCCCTCACTGAGAGACTAGCAGCAGCAAGCTCAAGCTCATGGCTTTTATGTAGGTGCTAGGTATCTGATCTCAAGCATTCTTTACTGAGCTCATCCCCGATAGACGCATTTTCACTTGAATATATATATCATGGTCTATTTTCCATTCCTAAACTTCCCTCAAGTGTTATACTGAGTAATTACTGTAAAAATGGTCTCTGAAAGAAAAAAGTTAGAATTTATACATGAGTTTTAAACATTTGTTGGGAGAGCTATTAGAAAGTTAACACACAATTGAAATTTACAGCACTTTAACACATAAACTGTTGAAAATTAAACATGAATGTCTTATTTTATTTCCTCTCCAATTCAACTAGAGATAAATTAAATTTGTAAAAATATTATATGCAAATTTAGTCTATGAAAAGTGTTTTCCAAGTAGTGTCTTCAATAAAATAAATGCCATAAAAATCAGTGTTTACGGCTTTTTTTTGGTCTGTTTTTTCCCTATGTAGTCCTGGCTAGCCTCATTGAGATCCACCTGCCTCTGTACCCAAGTGCTGGGGTTAAAGGCATGCACTGCTAGGCCCAGCATTATTAGGACTCTTGCTTGTGGTGTGCAAAGGTACTGAAGACTCAGTCTCACTGTCTAGGAGAAAATTAACTTTTCTTCCCATCCTCTTCAGCCCTCAAAACAGGAGAAAGGCATCAGTGAAATATCAGGCTGTGGTATTAGCTTCTAACAGAATCCGTACTTTAAAAAATTTCGTTCTAACTACTTTCTAAATCAGCAATCCCACCCTTAGACAGACCTAGGCTGACTCTGGATGATTTGTCACTTCAAAGGAATAAAACCAAAGAGCAAAAGAAGACAGAAGCTATAAGAGTCAAAGCAAAGAAATCTCACAACAGGGTAACAGAAACAAGTTTTGCTGGTAGAACTTCAACATACAACGAAATTAGCTTATATCCTCTGGGTGACTTGGAAGCTAACCAACAACTCTAATTAAAAATGATTTAGACCTTTAATCCCAGCACTTGGGAGGCAGAGGCAGGCAGATTTCTGAGTTTGAGGCCAGCCTGGTCTACAGAGTGAGTTCCAGGACAGCCAGGGCTACACAGAGAAACCCTATCTCGAAAAACCAAAAAAAAAAAAAAAAAAAAAAAAAAGATTTAGAAAGAGGTTTTAAAGAAAAGTAAAAGCCTTATCATCTGCCTTGACCTTGCCCTACATGACAAAACAGTCACACTTGCTGGAGAATGGGCCATTAACAAAACTACAGATTATAACTGTTCCACTGAGCTTCGATACAAACTAACAAATGACTTGAGGGTGTGTATGTGTCTTGAAGTGGCACAGATGGGAATACTATTTCTAGGCCAGGGCACTGACTGTCCTCTGCCAGAATTTATGGCTGCATACTGCATTTCCAAACAGTGACTACACTATTTGATAACAGAAAGTGTGGGGTTTGAAAGATGATTGACGCCCGCCTTTAATCCCAGCACTTGGAGGCAGAGTCAGGCAGATTTCTGAGTTCAAGGCCAACCTGGTCTACAGAGTGAGTTCCAGGACTCACTAGGGCTACACAGAGAAACCCTGTCTTGGGGGAGAAAAACAGTCATGAAAGTGGCTAACTCTTGTCTACTATTTACTTATTTATTTGAGACAAGGTATTATGTAGTACAGGTTGGCCTTGAACTCAGAGATCCATCCCTGCCTCTGCCTCCCCAGCACTGAGATTAAAGACCTGTGCCTTATGTGTTGCTCAATCTTGAGAAACAAAGTATCTTGGTACTTTTTACTAAATTTGTTTAACTGTTGAAGCAAGCACATGGAAAGTGAAAAAGCAGGAACGGCCTTTAGGACCTGTAATGCCACTGTAGAGATTGCACATGGAACATCAGGTCAAGCAGTTTCCAAAAGGAAATCCACCACACTGAGTGCCACTCTGCAAACTCTGACACAAGGGAAGCACATCAAGAATTCCATGATGGACAGAGTTCAAAACATGTTCAATGGAATAAATCCATGAGCAGACAATTAATCCCCCCTCAATTTCTCTAGAACTGACCGACCCTCCTTGACTCTGCTTACCTGGAGAAGTATTTCTTTGTTTGCTTATTTATTTAGTGTATGTGAGCAGGAATATATGTGTGTGCTTGTAGAATCCAGAGGACAACCTTTGCTGTTGTTCATCAGGAGCTATCCACCTATTGGCCTGTATTTGTCAGGATAGTATGCTGGCTGGCCAATGAGCTCCAGGTATCTGCTTGTGTCTACCTTCCCAGCACTGGGATTACAAACTTCAGTATCATGCTTTTTTACACAGGTTCTGGGGAAATGAACGTAGGTTCTTGTGGTTTACAAAGCAAATACTTTATTGACTGAGCTATCACCCCAGCTCTGCGGAGTTTTAAAATATTTATTTATTTACTTAGACAGGGTCTCATTTAGCCCAGGCTGGCTAAGAACGCGTTATACAGCAGAAAATGACTCATATGTACAATTCTCTTGCCTTTACATCCCCAGTGCTGGGTGACAGGCATGTGCACCAGCATCCCTGACATAAACAGAACAGCAAACTGAACCAGGACCTCATATACACTAGACGAGCCTGTGTGAACTGAGCCACCTGCCCCCAATATCTCTAAAGTCTCCAAGTCTAGGAGGTCTAAGAATCTGCATCTCTATCGTGTTCTCAGGTGACACTGACAATATACATTTAGAAATCATAGTTTGAGAAACCAGAAAGCCTAAAACAAAAACCTTGAAGACTAACAAAAAAATTAATTCAAGGTCTTCTCTCAAATACAGAACTCTCAGACCAAGAAAGTATCTGAATGCCCTCTTAGGAGCGTAATCCTCAGATAGGTACCGGATTTGCCAGCAACCACCAGCATCTAGGATTCTAGTGCTAAAACTCTATGCAAAGCATAATAATAATTGCTCAATTAATTGAAGACACTTTAAAAGTAAACTGTGTTTAACTGTGTTTTACAGCTCCAATTTCTCACCTCTCTACTTTCTTGTCACAACGTATTTAAAGGTTATTTATTCTTAAAAAAAAAATCTTACTGAATAGATTTCATATATTCCTTTTCGTCCTTCATCACATTCACGGCGAACCCAATGTCTATTGAGGTAGGCACAGATTCCATTCAGCACTTTGCTGGAAAACCGGTAATCTTCCCACTGCTGAGTATAGAACTTCAGTACATTCTCATCCATTAAATCTTCTCCATCCTAAAAACAAGTTCACTAAAACTTTAATATGACTAGTTTGTCACATAAGCAAGATAAAACTTATTGAAAAAGCTACTGCATCAAAATGTACAAATACATGCAGTTATAGATGGGTCAATTGCTATGTACAAAAACATGCTAATGGAAATTCTCACAAGAACACTAAAAAGGTCTTTCATAATCAAATTAAATTGGAACTTTTCATGGGTTGAATAGGTATATGTATGCAGTCACAGAGTGTAACTTAAGCTTTCAAAATGAAAATATGATTTTCTTTCTTTTATGCTTCTTCTTCGGTACTAGTGACTAAAACCAGGGCCAAATGCTAGACAACTGCTCTACTTTGAATTTAAGACAGGGTCTCATTAAGTTGCTCAGGCTGGCCTTTACCTCAATTGTGCAGCCCAAGCACACCCCCTTACCCCCTTGGATCTCACAGTTTCCAAGGCTGGCCTTACACTCACAAAGTAACTAAGAACAGCCTTGACCTCCTGTTCCTCCACCTCCTGAAAGCTCGTATCACAGGCCCGCACTGGAATTCCAAGTACAGACTTCCATGTCCTGTTTTTTTCTTTTTTTTAAGTTTTTAAGCAATTTCTTCTTATTAAGGAATCTACTTCCTTTGTTTGATATCTTCTGTTTTTTATTTTAAATCAATCTATCTGATTAACAAATTATAATGAAAGTATACTCATTTTTAAAAATATGAAATGCTTCACAAATTTGTAAGATTACAAAATTATTCATCTTAATTTTGGTATTTGTTGTATTTTTGTAAAAAAAAAAAAAAAACAAACAAAACCATAACTGTAACAATACAATATTTCTTCTTTAACAAAGTCTCAGAAAAAAAACTGGAAGTTATTCAAATTATTCTTACTTTTAAAGTAAAAATAGTTTTTGTTTGAACAAGATTAACTTGAAAAAAATTCTTAGATATTAATAACATCTGCAAAGTGAGTCCTGCCCTTTAAAAACACTGTTTCATAGATGCTGTGCTGAGTATACGAAGAAGTACGGCTTCTTGTGGAAAGTCAAAGTCCAGCAGGCTTGTAATTCTACAAGTAATAACATTCAAGTGACCCAACCATCTATGTAAATACGTGGTCACACCCAGACACAATCAAGTTATTTTGTATTTAAATAAATTTTAAAACATAAATTGATCAACTTTGAATGTAAAATACAAGTATGTTGCTGACAGAGTAGCTACTGAAAATAGAATAGACTTTGCTTACAAGACTTTATTTACCAAGTGTTGTAAAGTCAAAGGACAGAGGCTGTAGCAGGACACACCATGTTTAAGAACATGAAATACAACTATCAGTCAACTACACTCTGTTAGAATAATGTGTTTCCACTTAACTTGTACAATAAGTAAGAAAAAAACACTTGTAGCATGCAGAAAATATTGTATAATATCTATATAAACTTACAAGAATGAACTGTATACACAGAAGAGACTCTGAGAACTTTCTCAGGTAGGAGTAGAAACACCTTCATAGACTAAAGGCAGCATGTACACCACCAGATGAGAGAGCTACCTGACCACCTGATGGCTGAGTGTAAGGCAACCCACTTCCTTTGTTTTAGAACTACTAAAAACCAAAGGCAGAAGCTAAGGTAAAAGATTTCACCCTTAGGTGCGTGCCTTTAATCCCAACACTTTGGAAGCAGGTGGGTCTGAGTTCAAGGGCAGTCTGGTTTACAAACTGAATTTCCAGGACTGCCAAGGCTGCACAGAGAAACCCTATTTTGAAAAAAAGAAAAGAAACAGATTCACCTTTGCCTAAGCAATGGTTGAGCCAAGGGGCGCTAACTGACAGACAGAAGTAGTTGCAGCAAGAACTAACCCAGTGTAAGCACGATGAAAATGTGAGCAGCAAATGACAGAGATGGCAGTCACAACAAAATCATTGCACTTAAGAAAAAATTAAACAAAACAGATATTTTTATATGCTTATAGACACACCTTACCTTAAGGAGATTTGTCAAGTAATTCTTCAAAAACTCCTTCAATCGCTTGTATAACTCCAAGCCAACAAACTGAGCTCCTCCAGGAGTCTGCCCCTTCTTTGACTTGGAAGGAGGGACTCCAGCACCCCGGGCTTGGTTGGACTGATGCACACTAGTACAGTAGTTATAAACATGACTTGGAGAAAGTTAAGGAAAATAACACATACCATAAATGTAACAGTGATTAACATGAACGTATTTCCTTCTGTTTATTTATCAATAGATTCCCAATAAAACTAGAGTGGAAAATGATGCCCATCACACTACTGGTAAAGTTAAAAGACAGCAAAGCCCAGTCACAAGGATGCCCACAGGCCTGAAAAGCAGATGGAACATTCTTGAAAGAGTGCAAAGAAAAACCCCAGACCTGTAAGATTGCCTAACATGACTGATTTTGTGGAAACTGTCCTGAAAATTACAACAGGTTAGAAAGGTTGCAAATGACAAGGAAAAAAGCAATTGCAATATTTGGTTTTGGAACAACAAAGGCCAGTACTAACCAAAGTGAATGACAGTTGTCAACAAATAACATATCCAGAAGCACAAACTACAAATACTAAAATAGCTAAAACATTATTTTCAGATGACTTAAAAATAGACTTACCCAAAAATACAAAGCAAAGGGCATGCAGAACAGTGACATCTTGATACAACAATAGAGTCACAGACGTATAAAACTGGACAACAGCGTTGGATCAACACACCGCTGTGAAACACAGGCATAGAGACTACAGAGACAGAAATGGAAGGCTGAACCAGCTGTCTCTACATATTAACTTAACACAACTTGAGGATGGGGAGGACACAGGCAGAGGGAGCACAGCCTCTGTGATAACCTTTATGACAACTACTACTGTCAGACAGGGAGAGCATTAAACAGGACACACAGCCAAAACATTCTACTGCATTTAAGGACATACTATATAAAGATACTTCCAATCAGTGGGTAAAAGATTACTTAATAAATGACATTAAGGATAATTCAAAATATACCACAAATGGATCAGCAAAAATACATAAACTAAAAGAATAAAATGAAGATGCAGAAATTACCACTTACCTGTTCTCAAGCTAGAGAAGACCTTTCTAAACAAAATCACCAATGTCTAAGCTGAAAATCTGAACATGTTAAAGTAAAACTACCTTCAAGGAGAGTTACTATCTTCAGCATATTAATTTGAACTGGAGAGATATACATAGCTCAGTGGTAGAGCACTTGCCTATCAAGGCCCTAGGTTAATACCTAGCACCTTAAAAAACATAATTTAAATCAGTATGAGGCAAAAACTGTAAAGAAACAGGATCAAAGTATATACTACAGACAGAAAGTCAAACAGCTAATAAAATACCCAACTGTAATATTTCTTTATCAGAGAACTGCCTCTTAAAACAACAGATCACTAAATGTTTCTATGGTGCAGAGAGTTACAGATTACAGTAAGTAGCTTCTGCTCATGATGCAGTGGTCCTGCACATCTGGAATCCCAGCACCACTTGGAAAGTAAGTTAGGGCCATCCTCAGCAACAGCTATTTGAAGCTAGTCTGAGACTGAGGAGTGGGAAGGAATGGGAGGAGATGGGAGAAAAAAATTTTCAAATAATCCAAGAGGAAGAAAAACATGAACAATGAAAAAAACAAAGGTTTAAAAAATGGCCTAGAGCCGGGCGGTGGTGGTGCACACCTTTAATCCCAGCACTTGGGAGGCAGAGGCAGACCGATCTCTGAGTTCTAGGCCAGCCTGGTCTATAGAGTGAGTTCCAGGACAGCCAGGGCTACACAGAGAAACCCTGTCTCGAAAAACCAAAAAAAAAAAAGCCTAGAAAAAAAAAATCAACCTATTCATTATAATAAACTCTCAATGGGCTACACTATAGTCAAAGGCAGATGGTCAGAACTCCAAGACCACTTAACTGGCGACACAAAACACAATTATGTCACAAATGCACAAAGTATATAGCTAGAACATACTGCCACATCATCAAACAATGAAATCTCACAGACATTATAAGGGCTGTTATGATAATAAAAGTAACAATTAACTAAAAAGATCTGAATATAAATGTACTTATCTAACAACAGCATCAAAATATATAAAAAACTTATAAAAACACATAAAAGTTAAAAGAAAACACTTTCACAATCATGTTAAGACTTAGTATGCCTCACCAACTAGAACAAAGAAAAATATCAAGTGAAACATAAGTGATCTGATAGCACTAACAATAACTTTCACTTAATGTTATACCTAGTAGTATGTTGGTAAAACTGGCTTTTGAGGTGATTCAACAAATGGTGCTCAGACAACTGAATAGCCACATAGACAAAAATTAAGTTGGACTCTAACAGATAAAAATTAACTGAAGTAACTTCAGCAATAGGGAGATGGAAGGACAAGATGGTTCATTCCATGCCAGACTCCTACATGAAAAGGTCCAGTGGTGGTGCTGTGTCGGGTAGGCAGGATCAGGGGCTTGCTAGCCAGCTACTCTAGTCAAATAATGGAATTTGACTAAAGTTTAATCTTGAAAAATAAGGTAGACAGTAACTGAGGGAAACAAATGACATCAACCTTTGACCTCCAAACACATGTGCATGTTGGCCTATGAGTGTATGTGCACTTATGTGCACACATATGTATAAATACATAAAGATATATATTTAATAAAATAAACCGAACTTCAGAAAACAAACATAACTGAGGGACTGGAAATATGACCCAGTTCAGAGTGCCTCTTCCTCTCCTAGAAGACTCAAGTTTAGTTCCTAGAAGCCTACTCAGGTGGTTCACAACTGCCCATAATTCCAGTTCCAGGGAATTCTGGACTCCCATAGGCACCTGCAATGTGGCATACACTCACACAGATGCATACCATCATAAATAAAAATTTTAAATTAAAAAACAAAATAAAACAAAACATAACTGGGACTTGGAGACGGATCAGCCATTACTTGTGTAAGAGCACTGGTGGCTCTCAAAAGTCCCAAGTTTGATTCCTAGCAGCCACATGATGACTCGCAGCCACCTGCCTCCAGCTCCAGAGGATCAGACATGCGCCTGTACAGGCTCTTGCACGCGCATGGTATACATACACTCATTCAGGCTCATATACATGCATATAAATAAAACAGTATTTTTAAAAAATGATGACAATCCACATAGCCATAATCTGAGAATGGACCCATAAATAGAATATCTAAAGGACTCCTAAAACACAATACCAAGAGGTCAAGTATTTCAATTGAATACAAGCAACAAAAGGTTAAAGATATACTAATGACCAATAAACACAAGAAAAGATCCTTAATACCATTAACCTCCAGTGAAATGCAAATCAAACACCATGAGCTACTACTTCATGGTCAGTAAGACGGCTAAAATTAGAAATAAGGACTGGCCAGAATGGGAAGAAACAGAAGTTGTTATATATTGCTAGCGGGTAAGCAATCCGATGCAGCCACTTTATGAAAGTCAATTTTGTAACTGTACACACACACACACA